TTTTCTCCCACCTGCCACCTGCTGCCCTGTTGCTAAGACCAGCCGATTCTCTTGCACACCATCCTTCCAATCGCCCCCTCCCAGTGCACTGTCAGGGGCAGAGCACCCCCTCCCCCTGGGCAGCAGCCATACCCGCACAGTCTCCACACCACGTGGGTGGTGCTCTTTCTAAATCACAGCCCTTCGCCCCATCTCCCTGCTCTGAAAGTCCCATGGCTTCCTGCTGCCCCTGGTTAGAGGCAAACACCTGAGCCTGGCGTGCAAAGCTCCTCTCTGTCACTCACCACAGCGCCTCTCGGCACTCTCTTCTTCAGCCCGCCCAGCCTCCCTTCCTCTGCGCTTCCTGCCGCCAGGCCTTGGCCCTACAGGCCCGTCTCTGTGGATCCAAATCTTCCCATCATTTGAGGCCCAGTTCAAACGCTACCCCCACCTCATCTATCAAGCGTTCTTGAAACTGGTTGCAGAGGGACCCTCTCTCCTGGCTCCCAGCAAACTCCCCATGGAGCCCCATGGACTCTGCCCATGGTCTACCCTCCTCCCTCTAGAGCCGTGGTTGGCAAACTGCGGCTCGAGAGCCGCATGCAGCTCTTTGGCCCCTTGAGTGTGGCTCTTCCACAAAATACCACGTGCGGGCGCGCGGGTACAGTGCGATTGAAACTTCATGGCCCATGCGCAGAAGTCAGTATTTTGTGGAAGAGCCACACTGAAGGGGTCAAAGAGCCGCATGTGGCTCGGGAGCCGCGGTTTGCCGACCCCTGCTCTAGAGCAGTGGTTCTCAACCTTGGCTGCACATTAGAATCACGGGAATCTTTTTAAAATCCTGATTTCTGAAAAGATTCCCAGGTGATTCTAATGTGCAGCCAAGGTTGAGAACCACTGCTCTCTATGGTCTCTGGGGCGCGTGGCGGGAGCTCAGCTGTATCTCCTTCCTTCCCTGCCAGCCTCCAGGTGTGGGAGGTTGTCTCTGGCCAATGCCCAGAGCAGGATGGGGTGGGGAGGTGGGGAGCAGATGGCGAATGGAGCTCCCCACAGCTTCGTCCCTGCCAGGCCACGTGAGATGACACTGCCGAGCAAACAACGGGCACACCCTCGGTCCACTCCCCAACTGTCCTGGGAGCGTCAGGGGAAAGAGCCCGCTCACCCCAGGGCCCCGGGAGGTGGGGGAGCCCTGCACCCCAGCCGGGCCCATGCCAGAGGCTTCCGATTCTAACTCAGCCGCTTGCTTTCTGCGTGACATTGGCACCCTACGCAGAGGCCGGGTTCCCTCCTGTGTCGTGGGCATCACTGACCAGTGCTACTCCTCTCCTCTTCCCCTTCCCTAACGCTGGGAGCTGGGCCCTGGAGACCGTGCCGGGGGTGTGGGCTGAGGGGAAGCTTTTCTGTGACGTTTGTGAGAACTCGCTTCTGTTCTGGATTCACAGCTTTGAGACCTCAGCCGCCACCAAGCGCCCCAGGCAATGAGTCTGAAAGTTGTGCCTCCCCCTCGGCGAAGGCAGTCCCATGCTGGTGTCCACGTTTACCCTCCTGCTGGCTGGGTGCCCTGGGGCAGTGTTCCCCCAACTCGACTGTGCAGGGCCCCTCCGAGTGCGCACTGGGGAAAACCATGGTTTCCTAGCCTTTCTCTGGGCCTCAGTGAGTAAGGTTTTCTGGACAATCTGAAGTCCACACTGAGGTGTTACTGCTCCATTTTTCAGATGCAGAAACTGAAGCTTGGAAAGGTCACACAGCTGTTCATTGATGAAGCTGGACTCGAACCCAGGGCTGCCTGGCTCCAAAAGCACCGCCCCCCCTCCCCGCACCCCCGGTCTCGACTCTTCTTCCTGGCTCCCTCCTGGGAGTCCTGGTTGAGGGTGAGCAGGGGCCTGATCATGAAGGGCCTGGAATCCAGGTTTCTCCTGAAGGTTCCGGCAGCAGGATGGGGAGGCAGGTGGCAGGGGTAGCACAGCCAGAAGGCTATGGAGGAGTAAGAGTTTGCCAGAAGAGGTGGCCTTGGATGTGGGAAGCCCAAATGACACAGACCCACCTGCTACCAATAGGGAATGAAGATGGGTGGGGGAGTGCTGGGGACCAATGCCTCAGAGTTCAGGTGTGGGCGGGGGGGGGGGGGGGGAGGGGGAAGGGTTGGGAGAGAGGGGTGGTGGGAGGGGGAAGGGGAAAGGGGCAGGAAGCCTGGGGTACTGGAGGACCCCAAGTCCAGTGCCTAGCAGCTTCATTGCAGAGGAGGAGGGAGAGGGCCTGAATTCACACCTGGGCACAGGCCAGGCCGGGGTTTAGGGAGCAAGGGAAGGGGAGTTGTTCCCATTTTCCAGGTGGATGTCAGGGCCAGGGTTGGGTAGGGCGGGCCCCAAAGGGCTGAGGCCCAGGTGCTACTTCCTCTTTCCCACGGTGTGGATTCCCGTGGCACCCACTCCACCCCTGCCTTGCGCCAGATCAGCCCTGGCCAGGCACGGGGGAAGAAGAGGCTTCAGGCACCAAAGCCCCTGCCTGTATCCCCAACCTGCCGCCTTAGGAGGGGCAAGACAGACAAATCAAGCCGGCCAGGAACAGGCTCCTTCAGCCCCGCCCTTCATGCAAAACCCAGTCCCAACTCTGCTCGAGCCCACACTTAGCCCCAGTTCCAACCCTCACCATACGCTCAACCCAACCACACTGCCCACTTCATCTGCACACAGCTCAGCCTCAACCCGACCACGGACCTAGCCTAAACCCAAAGCTCCATGTTAATTATTACCCCCACCGCAACCCAATCCTGACCACCTCCCTGATTCCAAACCTAACCCTGACACTTCGCCACCCCAACCTCCGCTTCATTCCAAACCTGACCCTAACCCACACCTGGACTTGAATCCTAACTTGAACTCCTATCACCCATTGCTACGACATCTTCCCTAACCTGTAACCTCAGGCTGATCTAACCCAGCTTTCACCTGCTCAACCCCACCCCACCCTACCCCCAGCCCCAGCAGCACCCTCAGCTGCACTCCTGGTCTGTGCCTGGTGCTTACCTCCATCCCAATGGAAATAAATGCTACCTGTAGGCGTATCTCTAGCCTCACCTTCAACCTAAATTCCATCCACAACCCTGATGGTCTCTGCCTCCGGCTCCCCCAGGGCTCACTCCCACCAGCTCTCAGCTAGCACCAGCCACCACATGGGTGCACACACACACACCAGAACGGGGAGGAAGGCCAGTCTAGCTCTGAGAGGGACCTAGGAAGGCAGTTAGAACAGGTGTTTCCTACCCCTTTGTAGTTCCCTTCTGGTCAGGATATGCCCCCTCCAATTCCTCCTTCAATATTGACTCTCCACACCCAGGGATTTCCGCCCCCCCCAGCCCCCGCTCAGGGCCCCTTTCTGGCTTCTGGACAGGTTTGTTTGTAGATTAGAGCCATGGAGCTCCCAGGACCTCCCTTCCTCCCTGTCCTGGGGCCCTGCCCCCAATAGAACACAATGAACACACACTATGCTAGTCCTCATGGGGGTCAGAGTCTACAGGGGCAGACACACATAGCCAGGCACTCTCACTCAGCAAGATCCCCTGTAGGGTAATGTACTTGGTCCTATGGGGACAAAGAGAGGTAGTTTGGCTGAGGATGCAGTGGGGATTATTTGACCTGGGCCTTATAGTTTGAGTAGGAGTTCACCTGGGAACAAGAAAGGAAAAATCTTCCAGGCAGACGGGACAGCGTGTTCCACAGCAGGGAGGCATGCTCAGGAAAGGCCAGGCTGGGGAGGTTAGGCTGGGCTAGTTGGGGGAGGTGGAGCAGAATGGGAGGGCAACATGGGGGATGGTCAGCAGGTAGAAACAGCAGGACGGGGGAGGAGGTTGGGGAATCAGGGGGAAAGGGAATTGGGAGGGAGAGGGAAGGAGCTCATCCTATAGAATAAAGAGGTAACATGCAAATTGACCCTCACTCTGTCATGCCCTCACAAGATGGCTGCATCCACAGTGGAGGCGGGGGTTCCTGTAAGGAGCTATCAGCAGGGACCTGAGGCTGCACCCCCCCCCATGGGGCTTGGCGGGGGCCCTGAGGCTGTGCCCCCCACCTGGTGGGGCTTGATGGGAGACCTCAGGCCACGCCCTCCGCCCAGAGGGGCTTGACGGGGGACCTGAGGCTGCAACCCCCACCCAGCAGGGCTTGACAGAGGCCCTGAGGCTGCACCCCCCACCCAGTGGGGCTTGACAGGGGACCTGAGGCTGCGCCCCCTACCTGGTGGGGCTAGACGGGGTTGGGGCCAGCTGGGTCTGGATTTTGTCCAATGGGAGTGGGGCCAGCCGGGTCTGGGTCTCACGCAATTTCGAGGTGCATGTGGGTGGGTGGGGACTTGACTCTGGGTCCCATGGCGTGCCCCAGACTCTGACAGGAGGAAGATTTCCATATACATTTTACTAATTTTCTTTCATCTCAGACACTTCTATTATAGAGAAAGGGCAAATAGCAATATTAAAATATTTCCTTTAATTAATTCCCTTTTAATGTGCATGAATTTCGTGCACTGGGCCACTAGTTTAAAGATAATCTGAGGCTGAAGGACAGGCAGGACAGTGGGATCAGCACAAATGAGGACAGGCTGTGGCTCAGATGGGCAGGTCACTAGAGAGGCCAATGGGGACCAGAAGTGAATGCTGCTATTGACAAAAATAACCCCATGAGGCAGGTATTATTATTAGTCCCCATAGAGGACACAAAGGAACCCTGAGGCTCAGAGAGGGGAGCCGCTTTCCCAAGTTCGCACACATTGAAGCTGGGCGGTAGGTAAGGCTTGATCCAGGCCTGTGGGCTGGCAGAGCCGAGTCCTTCCTCCAAGTCACAGTGGCCACACCTAGTACCTGCCTTGCTCCACAGCCTCATCTTTCAGCATGTGAAGCCCCCTCCAAACTCCCTTCCCCCCACCCCCCAGGCTGAATGACTCCATTTCCCTGAATATTCCAGGCCTAGTTCACCTCAGCTGTCATAAATGTAGCATCTTCTGTAAGAAATGCCTTTACCCCCCACCCCTTCTCTAAGAAAGTGTTCACCCATTCTCCAGAACTGGGCACTGGCATGCCCTTCTTTGGGAAACCTTCCTGAACTGCTCTACACCTGGACTGGGGGAGGTGCCCCCTCATTCCCCACCTGACCCCTCTCCTACTTCCCTGATCACCCAGCATTGCCACTGTCTGGGACCCCTCAAGGCCCGGGCTGGGTCTACAGACCCGGCCCAGCATAGGGCCCGGCCCAGAGCAGTTGCCAGTGAGTGTATGTGGTTGGTGAATGAATGCGGAACCCAGCTGGCTGTGGGTCAAAAATGAGTGCTCAGGAAGGGAACTGATCTCTTATCTACCAGGGCTGTCTTGAGCCTTAGTTGATTAGGCCTTAATTTACAGGTGAGCAGATGAGACTGCCAAAAGTTCCTGGGTTACTCAGTAACCCTGCCTTCTTTAAAAGCCCCACTGTTTCCCTTTGACATCCAGAACCAGCCACTCCTCTCTCTGGCACTGCAGCCATGAACACCTTCCCGCTTGCCGCACTGTGCCTCCTAGGAACCTGGGCTGCCCTGGCAGGGGGAGTCACTGTGCAGGTAAGTCCTGTCCCTACCCTGGTCCAGCCGGCTCTCTAACCCCAGTGCACAGGGCCTGGGCCCTGAGAGAGCACCCCCTCTTTGGAGCTGGATTTGTTACCGGAACGGGGACCAGGCAGGGAGCACGTCTGCCTCAGGCCAGCCTGCAGTGTGTGGGCTCTTGACTTTGTGCGAGAAAGATTTCATAACGCGAGACCAGGTGATTTTGAGAATATGTTTATTTAAGCTGGGGACAGTGAAACAAGGAAGGGCTTAGGGTAGAAGAAGAAACAGGAGACTAGGTGGGTGGCTTTGGCTCACTAGAAACGTTATAGGAAAGAAGTGAGCCAAGGTGGGGCTGCTGTCCGCTCCCTGGAGAGTCAGAGGAAAGGGGACCCTGGAGGTAGGTTCAGGGGGCGAGCCCAGGACGAGCTGCCGCTGCCCATTGCTCCCCTGGTTGCAAGTCTCGTGGGGACCCTTAGAGTTTAGGAGACACATCCCTGCGGGGGGTGTGGGGGGTGCCCAGGGGAGGGAAAAGCTGGGACCTTTGTTTGAGGGCTTTAAAGGCTGGGCGTTTAGAAGAGTCTTAGGGGAGGATCTCAATAGAATATTCATCAGCTTTTCCAGGTGTATCCACTTAGGGTCTCGGTCTCCACTGATTGGTCAGCGCCAGGCAGGGGGCCATTAGTCATTGCAGCTGGTCCTGGAGTCACCAGCACTAGTTTTGCTGCTTTTCTGGGCCTGGAGCTGAAATACAACGGAGGCCTGGATGTTATCTCTAGGGGGGAAAGGTCAGGGAAAGGTCAGGCATGGCCAGTGACAGGCCAGAGGAGGGAAGACCCCCCTGGGGGGCCAGGTCTGGTGCCAGGTTTGCCCATTGCTAGGGCCCCCTGGTGACCGTCTGTATCTGGCTGTGAATTGCTTGACTCATTTGTTCACTTATATCAGTTCCCAACTCCACTTGCCGAGGAATTCTCCTGGCTTCTTACTATCCTGCCTCAGATCAATCCCAGACCTTACTTGTCAGTCCTGTACTCAGCCTGAGCACCGGCCTGCGTCTCAGGACTCACATGGTCACCCTGAGGATGAATGCCAACGGCAAGCGGTCTGGCACCCCGCAGGGGCCCCCCTCTGTCACAGCCAGGCTTCGGGAGGCCTTTCATTGCTTCTCAAACATCAGCCAGGCTGCAGGCTGGAGCTGGGGGCCCGGGGAGCAGCCCACGTGGCAGTCAGGCGGGGGTGAAAAGAGCCTGGGCTTGGCCACGTGGAGCCTGGCCCCGGTCCCAGCTCGGTACCTCTCCGTAACAACCAGCACAGTGGCTCCCACGTATCGGGCACCTGTTGTGTCCCTGACACATCACATCCATTCTCTCTGTTCCTCATAACAGGCAGGACCTACGGGCCTGTCCTTGGCCACAGAACAAAACCAGAGTCCCAGCCCACGGTCTGGCTCTAAGGCCCGAGCTCTGACTACCTCATGTTGCCCTGAGAGGAGGGTCTGGTTCCCATGGGCCGCAAACACTGCCTGAGCCGCTGGGGCTGGAGAGGGGCCAGTCCCCGAGGAAACAGTCAGGAGCAGGCTGCAGCTTGGCCTCATGCTCTGGACATGTCTCTCTCAGGATGGAAAGTTCTCCTTTTCTCTGGAGTCAGTGAAGAAGCTTAAGGGCCTCCGGGAGCTCGGGGAGCCCAGCATCGACAGCGGAGTGCAGTTTGATGGACCTGTGGTTCCCGACCTCTGTAGCTCTACTGAGTTTCCTGCAGAACTCAAGCCTGTCTGCGAGGAGCCCAACGCCAATGAGATCCTGGGGAGGCTGGGTGAGTAGCCTCCTGTCTGATGGGTGGGGCTTAGGAATTCCCTGATTGGTGGGATTCAGAGGCGGGGCTCTGCTCTGATTGGTGAGACGAGGGGGCTCTGCTCTGATTGGCTGGTTTGAGCGGTACCTGTCCTGGTTTGAGGCAGAAAGCCCAATGGTCATAGGGGACAGGCCTGGGTTTCTCCTGGGAGCTGGGCGGCAGATGTCCTAGCTCTGGCTCAAAGGAGGGCGGGGGCTTTGGGGAAGAGAAGCTGGTGCTCATGGGCCCCATTCTCCTGTCCAGAGGTCATCGCTGAGGACCCGAGCACATGTGAGCTCTGCGCCTACGCTGCCTGTGCTGGATGCTAGGACAGCAGGAGCTCGCTGTCCTCCCCCGCAGAATGCTCCCACTCCTGGCATCTTTATCTGCCCTGCCCCCAATGGAGGACCAAGGAGAGAGCAGCCTGGGGAGACCCAGCCCCTGACCCCATCAGAGCTGCCAGCTGCTGGCTGCTTCTCCAACCTGCGTCTAATAAACCAGATTCCAGAGTACTCCTGGCGTTGATTTCATTCATTCCTCATCTCTCAGTCTACGCATCACCACTACGCATCACCCAGCTTCATGAATGCCTATCTGCCCTCGCAAGTTGAGGGCCTTGAGTGCTAAGTGCAAGGGCCCCACTCTCCCTGAACCGAGGGACCTGACTCTCCAGACCACCGAAGTCACTAAGCCACATGTGCGCACAGGGTACGGGGGTCTATGGCACTGGCCCTGAGCTCTGGAGTATTCAAGGTGCCTCAGGATCTGGCCCCCTCTGACCACTTCAGCGTTGCTTCCTGCCCCACCCCCACTCCCCTGCCCACATCCCAAGTCACAGCTCTCAGCATTTCCTCTGCCTCTCTCACCTCTGCATGGCTCCTCTCCCCACACCCTTGCCCAGGTCCCACTCAGGCCCCACCTTTCCACTCCCAGGGCCTCTCACTCAGGAGCCTTTACCCCCCTCCCAGGAGGGGTCTTCATGCTCCCACTCTGTCCTTGGGGCTCCCTAGGCACCTTAGTCACCCACACCCCTTGCACAGCTCTGGCCTCCCTGGGGGGTAATGGCTTCTGTGCCTGGGGAAGTCTCTCTGCTCCCCAGAGGGTGTGAGGCCCATCCCATGGATGGTTGCATGAGAATGTAACAGAGCAGGGAAAAGCACGAGCCACAGGGCTCCAGGCCCAGGTCTTCCACGCGCTGTGCGATGATAGGAAAGTAGCTTTCCCTCTCTGTGTCTTAGTCTCCTCCTCTGTAAAACTGGATAGTGATAGCACCTGCCTCCCAGGCCAGGGGCAGTGCTGCATGCAAATGCGTGTGTATGCTGTATGTAAAGTTCAGGCTATATGCAAACATAACTCCATAAACGGTAGACACAAATCAACCAAAGAAAGGGGAACCAGGGACAAGCTGAGCATGGTTCAGGCAGGGGTGAGGAGGTGAGGCGCAGAAGGAGGTCGAGGGGAGGAGGAAAGAGGAGGCAACCTTCTTGGGTCCTTCTTGGGGAGAAGGGTGGAGGGGGACTGGGTGACCCAAGCAGGGTTCCCCGGGCTGCAGAACTCAGAGAATGCTGTCCTAGAAGTCAGGGAAGGCTTTGTGAAGGGGAGGGGAGGCAGGCATTTGCATCAGCCCTTGGGATTTGCATTGGGACGGATGGAATTTCAAAGCCTGTGGGGAGATGGGGGGGCAGAGGGCATTCCAGAAGGTGGGGTTGGTGCACACACACACACACACACACACACACACACACACACACACACGGAAGCAGGAAGGGCCAAGGCACTGGAACAGCTCATCTGGGTGAAACCAGGGGTCCTGATTTCTGTTAGCGGACTATGTACCCCAACACTCTTCAGTTTCTTCACAGCCTGCCCCGTAAGCCTTAGTGAGTCCTTCCTCTGCTAGTCATTAACCTCCTGAGGCCGCCAGAAACAATGGCACAGCCTTCACTGAAGGTCACAAGGTATGGGTCTCTGTTAAGCCAGCGGTTCTCAACCTGTGGGCCACGACCCCTTTGGGGGTCGAACGACCCTTTCACAGGGGTCGCCTAAGACCATGGGAAAACACATATATAATTACATATTGTTTTTGTGATTAATCACTATGCTTTAATTATGTTCAATTTGTAACAATGAAAATACATCCTGCATATCAGATATTTACATTACGATTCATAACAGTAGCAAAATTACAGTTCTGAAGTAGCAACGAAAATAATTTATGGTTGGGGGTCACCACAACATGAGGAACTGTATTAAAGGGTCGCGGCATTAGGAAGGTTGAGAACCACTGTGTTAAGCTGGAGATAGTATCTTGACCTGAGTTTCAGCTCCTGTGCCCTAAGGCGGGATGACGCCCTGGCCACTTTCCTACGAAACTGGACAGAGGGATGCCAGAGTAGACCACAGGGTGTGTCTGTACAGCCCTGAACCCGGAACCCATGGTGTCCTGTGATTCGCCCTATACAATCTGTAACCTACACGTCATCGGGGGGTTTGGGCTTCTGCGCACTAGCTTCCCGTCCTCCGGGGTGGCACCATTCACAATAAAATAGCCAGTATTTCTCCACTGCAGTTGTTGGTGGTCCGTGTTTGGCTCTGCTGGCGCTGGGTGGGCGAACTCTCTGTCTGCAATAAGGTGGACAGGGTGGCCCGGGAGGCACATGGGCCGAGTTTGAGCCCGAGCGTGTCACTTACAAGCCGCGCACCCCTCTCTGAGCCTTGGTTTCCTCAACCGCAAATGGGGAGCGCAGACCCTGCCTCCCAGGTTGCAGGGGCATTTGATGGGCCCCGCGGTGGAGTAGGATCATTTAATGCTCCCACTGGAGCCGGCGCTCTGGGTGTGAGGCCTGGCCCTGCCTGTTCCCAGCTGCGAGACTTGGGGCAGGTCACTGAGCCTGTTTCCTCCGTTTCTTCATCTGTAAACTGGGGATGACAAAGTGTGTGTGTGTGTGTGTGTTTTGGGGGGGGGAGGTGGGGGGGGAGAGGAGAGATTCCACGTTTAGAGCTTTAAGAAGTGAGTTGTTTGAAAGAAAGCCTTTCTTTTTACCCCTAAATAAATGTGGTTGAGTGAAGATTAAATGAGATGATACAGGAAAAGCTGTTAAAGCTCCCCCGGCCGGGCCCACAGTGAGCACTTGGTTGATGCTGCTGTTATTATTGTTGTTATTATTTCTGTGTGGATGGCTCAGCCCTGTGCCTGGCACAAAAAAGGTGCTTGGTCAGTGGCAGTTTCCTTCACGGCCTCCTCCCCAGGCAGGTGGGAACCCAGAACAGCTGAAGGGATGGGTGGAGAGGAAACCACATGGCTCATGAGCTTGGCTTAGACTTGAGAGGCGGCCCTGGGGAGCCACGGAGGGTAAGGCGGTGGGCATGGAACGCAGGGCAGGGAGGACGCTCTGGCCTGGTCTGGGGTAGCGTGCTAAACGCCCACCGCCAGTGATGCTAGAGATGAGAGCGGCCCAGGGGGACGCAGGAGGCATTGCAAGGGCCCCAGCCAATCTGGCCTGTGGGGGAGGGAGGGAAAGGGGCTGGAGCTCTGGGGTTTGCGGCCTGGCGGGCTGGGAGACTGCAGGACTCAGGAGCAGAACTGGGCAGTCAGGGGGGGTGGAATTCGGGGGTGGGGGGTGGGGGGGGTGGTTGTTCATCCTGGCTTTGGCCCAGAGGTGGTTGGGGAATTGTGTTCAGAGGGCCCAGCTCCTCGGTTCCTGACCTTCCTCCTCTCTGACTGCCCCAGGCAGAAGCTGGGGAGGACCCCATGCTGTGGAAAGGCCCTGCTCCAGGGAATTCCCAGCTGGGCTCTGGCCTTGAGTTATGGCACCGAAGGCCACTGTGAGGGAGAATGTGGAGGCCGGGGGCCTGGGGGCCGGTGTCACAGGGAAACGCAGCCTGGCATTTCAGAGCATGGATTCTGGCCCAGACTTTGCGGGAAGAATCCTGCTTTACCACTTTGCTGAGCCTGGACCGGTCGTCTCAGAACCCGGTGTCCTTCTTCGTAAAGTGGAGACGCTAATCATAATCGTACCTGCTTCGTTAGGCTGCTGTGAGGCTTAGTGCGCTAATACGTGCCAAGGGTTTAGAATAGTGCCTAGGCTGTAGCAAACGTGCAATAAACGATGGCTATTGTTATTGATATTCTCTGGGGCTAGGGGCACTGGAGGTGAAAGTGAAGGGCCATCTTCTCAGGCACCATGAGCACGTGGTCAGCTTGACGATGGGCCTGGGAGCGGGCACCACGGAATCCTTCCTCCACCCACTCCTGTCCCAGTGAAGAAAGGGAGCTCCCCCCACCCCCATCAGGAGCGCAGAGCTCTGGCCCTGCAGCCAGGCCAGGCCTTGAGTTCAGCTTGGGGTACGTTGAGTCTGGGTGCTCTGTGGACCTTGGGTGCCTTGTTTCCCACCCTGAGCTCACCCCCTTCTATACCGACCAGGACGTAGTGAACCGACTCCTTGGGTGCTGGAACCCTGGGGATTCCTAACTCTAGTCCACACTTTGTCCTCAGCCCACCCGGCTCCCACGAAGCTCCTCCCAGGGCTCCTGGGGATGAACAAGTGAACTCGGATTCACGTGTGGGTGGAGAATCTTTATTCAGCAGCAGGGCTTTCTAAGGGGCCAAACTCTCCTCCAACGGCGAGTCACACTGCTCTGTGCCAGATCCAGCGGATTTGCCTGGGAGGGTGGCAATGACCGAGGTGGCCAGGGCACCGCCAGAGCTTGGGTGGGGGTGGGGGCTGCAAAGGCAGTGGGTGGGGGGGGGGGGGGTGCGAGGTGTCCTGGGCTGGCGCAGGATCTCCAGGGCCACCTCAGAGGCAGCCAGTACAGGCGACATTCTCACACAGCTCACAGTGGTTGCTGGCAGCGATGGTCTCTGGGCAGGGGGAGAGAACCGGTCAGTTGAACATGACCCTGAAGCACCTGTGGTCCAGGGAGCTGCTGGCCAGGTGGCCAGAGAAGCCTGCTTAGAGGGCCGGCATCTTTCTCACAGGTGAAGAGCATGGCATTTTAGAAATGGAGTGAGCATCTTGGGCTTAAGTCCCGGGCCCTCTCCTTCCTTGCAATGCCTGGGCAAGTCTCTTAAACTCTGTGCCTGGGTTTCCTGTATCCTGAATGGACAGGAACGGCCTGACAGGGTGGTTGTGAGGAGAGGATGCAGGCACAGGACTGACAAGGACCTGGCACTAAATGCTAGCTGGTCACTACATGCTCCTGGCCAGCTCTGCTTCATCCCTTCCCTTTCAGCATAGATGTCACCTCCTGGAAACCTTTCAGACTTTTTATGCCACCCCAGGCGTGAGTCACCCCTCCTCGTGTCCCGCTGTGCTCCCCATCATCACTGCATCACAGTCAGGGCTCATGGGTCCCTTTCCCAGGGCCCTTCCCTCCCATCTGAGAAGTCTTTGATGTAGGACGACCAGTTGGTCCTGGTTGTTGGGAGCTCAGGGGCTTCCTCATGCCTGGCTTTTGGTTCCCAAACTGGGGAAGGGGTGTTGCGTATCTTGGATCGCCCTGTCCTCAGCCACTGGGTACTTAATAGAAATAACATGGGGTGGAGCAACCTGAACCTGACCTGGGGTGCGGGGAGGAAGGGAACAAGGGCAGGAAGCTCCCAGGGGTGGGGACACTCACCCAAGGCCTTGAAGATGCTGGCAGCCTCCCTGGAGGCGCAGATGGGCTGGAGGTCCGGTGGCAGGGCCGAGTGGTAGCATGGGACGGGCAGGAGGCTCTGGGCCTGCAGGCGGGGGCTGAGCACCGACTGCTTCTCCAGGTCTCTCAGTTTCTTCACAGATTCTAGCTGGACCTGGAAGCCCTGGTACTGGGGAGGCGGGAAGAAACGGGAGGGCATCAAAACCTAGACTAGGAGGCCAGGACTCCTCAGACCCCCAGCCTTTCCTGTCCTCAGGGAAAGTACGAGATAGTGCCTGACACTTCACACCCCGGCCGCAGGCCCCCGTCACTGCTAGATGAGGCCAGAGCAAGGCTGTGTGTGGAGCACCGTGGTTCAAGACATGGGCTTTGGAGGCCAGTGGCCCCCAGTTCAAATCCCACCTCTTCCCGACCAGGTGCCTGTCTCTTCCCCACTCTGAGCCTCATCTGACAAATGGAGGTAACCATGTCCCCTCCTCCACCCCACTCCGTAACTGGGTGACCTCCCCTGAACCGACATGCCAAAATGATGGCAACCCCAAGCTGGCCAGGCTGCAGGGCCAGGCTGCCAGGGTGGGTGGAGGCTCTCTGGTACCCTCTACAGGGCCCTTTGTTCTTCTCAAGGAGGCCCTGCCCAGCAGGAGTGGGAGGCACCCAAGCGCTACTCCCGGCCGTGCCCAGAGGCCAGCGGCATCCTGTCACACAGACAGGCCTGCTTCTGTGACTCTTCCCAGCCTCACGGACTGCTCCCCATGCTGTGCCCTCTGTCTGGGGTCGTCTGCGTCCTCCATGCCTTGCTACCTCCTGCTTATCCTGCAATGCCAGCTCAAGTTACCTGCCAGAAAAACATTTTCTGGTGCTTCTCCCCTGCACCCATACAGGGGTGAACATGGGGAGCTGTGGGAGCCTATAGGGGTCTCCCCTCCCTCTTCAGGCATCTCAAGGACAGGCTCTAAGCCTTGTTCCATACTCTGCCCTCTGACCAGGATGGGCTGGCCTTCAAGGAGAGTCATGCTGCATAACAGCCGTTTATTATTATTGCTATTGTCACTATCACCATAGCCATAGGTATACCGGCTGCCCACACCCCCAGCTGTCCTAGTCCCTGGGCTGTGAACGTGTGTTGAGCTGAATCCTAGGCCCTGTGCCCCCCTGTATCCCATGAATTCCCAGCATCCTCTCCCCATCCCAACCTCCCACCATGGGAACCTTTAGTGAAAAGCCATTCTGGCTGGAAGGACTCACCTGGATGTAGACTGACTGTGTGCTCTGCAGGAGCACCAAGAGGACCAGAGTCACTCCAGACAGAAGCCCTGACATAGTCCTGCCACCCATTTTGCTCCCTCTGTACCTCACCACAGCCACCCACCCAGATGCTACCTGCTTCTCTGATTAGCAGCTTTTATAAGCCATGTACTCTGGTCACTCATTAACTGGGAAGCCCGGGTGGGGCCGACACCTGGCCGACTTTATGACAAGCCCAGAGTCCATTCTTAGGAAGGGAGTGAAGGCAGGGAGGCCAGGGCACGTGTGCGGGCTCTGTGGGCGGGCCTGGGATCACAGCACATTCCTCAGCTCCTCCTCAGGATACCTAAGCGAGTGAGATGATAGGGAGACCATCTTACAAACAGGGAAAGTGAGGCTCCAGAGTTAAAGTGACTTGCCCCACTCAGGTCACAGCACTGGTCAATGGCAAAGTGAGGACTCCACTCTCTTTGACCCAGGAGAGCCCATGGTTCTCTGGGCACAAAAAAAGGTGGGCAGGGAAGGTGGGCAGATACAGGACTTCTTGTGTCCCTAGACCCACATTTCTTCCATCCCCTCTTCCCAGCTCTATTTAAGGACCATCCTCCTTCTGATCAGTCTGAGTCCAGGCCCTCAGCCTGCTGCTGCCTGCATCTCCCATGGGCCTGGATGTCCTCAGGCTATAATTGACTCATCTCACTTGTCTCTGCCTTTCAGACGCCAGTAACCAGAGCCCGGCCTCGGAGACAGAATGACCCGGGTTCAAAGCCTGCAGCTGCGTGATCTCGGACAAGTCACATCAGCTCTGACTGAGCCTTCGTTTCCTCTTCCATCAAATGGGCGGAATGATGGAACCCACCGCGTGAGGTTGCTGTGAGAGTGATGGGGCCCGCTTGAGCTCGCCCTCTTCTGGGTAATACCCGCCACAGCAGGGCCCTTAAGCTCACGGTTTGATTTCATGTCTGATTGGGTCAGGGACAAGAGAGTAAAGTCTGACAGTCTGTTCGATGTCAAACTACAGCGGGAAGTCCGGGGAGGGTTGGGGGGCGGGAAGCGGGGGTAAGAGATCAACCGAAGGACTTGTATGCATGCATATAAGCATAACCAATGGACACAAGACCCTGGGGGGTAGGGGAGGCCAGGGGAAGGTCAAGGGGAGAAAAAAAAAAAGGAGACATATGTAATACTCTTTGTAATACTTTAAGCAATAAAAATAAAAGAGTAGATGACAAAAAAAATTATATTCTCTTCCCCTCTATATCATAGAAGAGAAAATGCATGCACATGGTATTAGAAAGTATCACAAAGAAAAATTAAATAAACTATTTTCCATTTTTTACAAAAAAGAGAGTAAAGTCCGCAGGCGTTATCACCACTGCCTGCTCAGGAAGCTGTAAACGGAGCCCCTGCCAGGCCTCAGTTCTGCTGGGCACTGAGCCTGGTGTATGGTAGGCACCCATGCATAACAGGGAAGGCCCCTCTCCCACCTGTGCTAGCACTCATCACGCTCCCTCAGACCACCTCTGCCACACAGGCCTAATCTCATTGCATGCTTTCACCGACGCATTCCATCTGCCTGCAACGCATTTCCCTTCTTATCTTGGGGTGAAATGGAAAAAGCAGAGTTAACGTGGTGTGTCCTCTGTCTTGCTTTGAATCCAGACTTCAGCCTTTACTCTTTGGATGCCGAAGAATTTAATGGACTCTTCCATGCTTCCTCATCTGTGGACTGAAAATAGTCATCAGGAACAATGGTTCTCACTTCTTGAGCCTGCACTGTGTGCGAGGCACTGTGCTATTTTATGGGCACAATCTTGTTCGGTCCTAGAGGATGGGTGTAACGGTTGTCTGCATTTCACAGGTGAGTAACCCAAGGCCCGCTGAGGTCAAGCACCATGTTTAAGGTCATGTTAATGTAAACGTAAAAGCTCTTTCATGGTGAAAGGCAACACATGTTTATTTGAGATAGAAGAATAGTTATTTGGGAAGCACTGGTTCAGGCAGAAGCCCAGATAATGTTCTGATTAGGAGACAAAGGCAAGGAGTGTGAAGAGAAAAGGAAGGGTAATGGTTATATCAATAGGAGGACGGCATTTCTGTTCATGCAGGTAACATAAGATAGTGATGCGAATTCTAAACAATGTTTTTAATTTTCGGTCTGGTCGCCATCGGTCTGGTAGCCATAATTTCTGCTCTCTGGTTATCCTTGAAACAGTTCTTTGGGGCACGATGCTGCTTTAGGCCCAGCCCATAAGCTAGTTTGCCCGTTTTAACATTCCCAAGGTTTGAGGCATAAGACATGCCAGGCAGCTCCCCTGGCATGGCAGCCTGGCTCCATTTTAAAGTGGCTCCGTGTATATTATTATTTTAATGGTCACTCTGAGAGTGAGAGGGGAGTGAGTTTTATACATGAAATTCTTGCCTCTGCTCAGCTTATGGTGTTATACAAAAAGGGACCTAGCCCGGCTGATGTGGCTCAGTGGTTGAGCATCGACCTATGAACCAGGAGGTCAGGGTTTGATTCCCTGTCAGGCACAATGCCCAGTTTTGGGTTTGGTCCCCAGTGTGGGGCATGCAGGAGGGTTAGGGTTAGGGTTAGGGTTAGGGTTAGGGAGCCTATTAATGATTCTCTCTCATCATCGTTGTTTCTAACTCTCTCTCCCTCTCCCTTCCACTCTGAAATAAATAAAGATATATTTTTCAAAAAGAGAAAAAAGAAAAAGAGACTTAGGCCGTGGAGGGAAGAAGATCTGGGTTTAAACGACGTATCAGCTGTGTGATCTTAGATACGTTACTTAGCTTCTCGGAGCCTCTGTTTCGTTCTTCATCAATAAGTAGAAGAAATAATGAGCAACTCATAGTGGCTGGCTGTGGTGTGGACAAATGGAAACCCCCATCCCAGCGGCGCCCGTGACTGGGGACTCGCGCGTGCCTGGCCTGTGGAGGCCACGCAGCGAGCCGTGGTTGTCCTGCCTCTCCTTCTCCATGGAGTCCTCCCTGACAAACTGCGTCTCTGACCCCACAGCTGGAACGGTTCTGATCTTAGTCCTGCGCAGCCGGAACACCATGATGTGCCATCTGTCCGAGCTGGATCTGACCACCTGTGTGACCTTGGGCAAACGTATCGCCTCTGTGATCTCAGGTTCTCATTTGTAAAAAGATGGTCTGCCTCTAGCTTTGGAGTTTGTCATGAGGATGCTTGACTCCCAAATCCTGGCTCTTTGCACCTGAGCAAGCTCAGCCCCCTTGGCCCCACACCAAGGGACAAGGAACAAATTGTAAGGTTTGGAGGCCTTATCTTGGGGGCATGTCTAACCAAGAGGTGGGAATGCCTCAGTTGACCTTCAAAGCCAGGAAATGGTTCTTATCTAAATCTAGTCAAGCACCAGGAAGGAATGCGATTCGGACCCACCAGGAGGTGACTATTTATGAGGAAGCTACAAGAACGCATGCATTCTCCCTTTTACTTACCCTTAGTAAAACTTCCTGGTATTTGGCTATAAATAAAAGTTGCTACACTGGTTCTGGGCCCTGTTCATCTATCAGAGAGCAGCCGCCATACCCGGCCCCAGCTTTCCTCTATTTCTGTCTCAGTCTTGTTTTTTTCAATTTTCCTTAAACCTCGTGGCGTTCTATTCAAGATTTCACCAACCCCTGAGTTCTCTCTCTCTGCGCTGGTCGCAAGAAGAGAGAACGCCATCCCCCCATATCTGGCGCACCGAACAGGGATCCCCATATTTCTTATCTACCTGATATGACTCAGATTCACATATCAATCCATATCCTCCTAATCACTTCATGAATGACCCTCCATCCATCAAAATCTTAGATGCAAACCCATGCTGCTACGCCCATCGAGCCACTGTAAATTGACATTTCTTAGGACACTTCCTTCTTTAGGGACGTGGGAAGTGATTCTGATTCTGGTTTCTGTGTGGAAGCCTCAGTCAGAGCCAGTGACAGTTGGCCTGTGTGTGCGTGTTTGGGTGGCTTCTTTCTCCACATTGGACTTCCTGTTACGTGCCTACCACCATGGTGCCCCAGAGCCCATGACTCTCCCTGACTCCAAGCTGACCATTTTCCCAGAGCGATTGTCACAGCTGACCACTGGAATAAAGCACTTTCTGCACTCAGTGTCTGAGGTGCTCACTCTCCAGATTTTCTGCCAGTTTCACTGGCCCATCTTCTCAGTTTTCTTAGTTGGTTTTTCTTTCTCTTTTTGATCTCTAGACCTTAGAATGCCCAAGGGCTCCAGAGCTCAGTCCTCAGGCCACTTCCCTTTGTCCACAGTTACCAAGACTGGTGATCTTATCCAGTCTCAAGGACTATAATGCCATCAGCAGGCGCCCTGTCCACGCCCTAGCCTGACTTTTTCTCTCAGGTATGGACTTATTATTCTAGCTTCTCAGTTTCTTCCATAACAGTTGAGGGTACTACCATTCACCCAGCTGCTCAGGCCAAAAATATGGCAGTCATTCTTGATGCTTCTCTGTCTTTCACTTGCCAAATTTAATTCATAGGCAAATCCAGTAGCTCTGCCTTCACAATATCTCTAGACTCTACCCATATCTCACCATCTCCATTGCTTTTAAGTTCAAGCCATCACCTATGGATGAGGACAGTGGGTGGGGAGTGAGGGCGGAGGGTGGGGTGGGAACTGGGTGGAGGGGAGTTATGGGGGAAAAAAGAGGAACAAATGTAATAATCTGAACAATAAAGATTTAATTAATTAAAAAAAAAAGTTCAAGCCATCATTATTGAACATTGTTCTCATGGATTATTGCAACAGCCTTGTATTAGTCAGAATTCTCCTGAGAAACAGAACCAATAGGGGAAAGAGATACCTCTTCTCTTCTCTTCTCTTCTCTTCTCTTCTCTTCTCTTCTCTTCTCTTCTCTTCTCTTCTCTTCTCTCCTATCTATTGATCATCTGATCTATCTATCTAGATTTATTTTAAGCAGTTGGCTCATTCAATTATAGGCAAATCTGAAATCTGTAGGGCAGGTTGGCAGGATACGATTTAGATACGAGTTGATGTTGCAGTCTTGAAACTGCAGGAGAAGCCAGCAGGCAAGAACCCCTGGCAGGGGTTCTGTGTTGCAGTCTTCAAGATA